AGCTAATCTGCTGTTGATTGCCATTACTACACTTTTAGTTTAGTAGTTTCATCTCTATACAATATTTTACCTCCACATATTCTTTGGGGTTGTCCCTTCTTTACAGTTTCATGGAAGATACCCTGAACTCAACCACAGCAAGAATATAACTGATTTTTTTAAATTCTTCTTTTTTCTTTATTTTTATTGTTGACACTATTAGAGATGTCTCCAACTACCCTCCCACCCTACCCCCACTTTGCCTGCCTCCATCTAGCCCCCCCCCTCACCCATATACACACTGTTGTCTGTGTATATGGGTTATGCATATATGTTCTTTGGCTAATCCCTTCACCTTCTTTCATCCAATCCTTTTCCCTCAACCCTCTGCCCCCTCAGACAGCTGTCTGGTTCCATGGATCCATGCTTCTGTTTCTATTCTGTTCGTCAGCTTATTTTGTTCATTAGATTCCACATATAAGTAAGATTATATGGTATTTATCTTTTCTATGACTGGCTATTTCACTTAGCATAATAATCTCCAGGTCTATCCATACTGTCACAGAAAGGTAAGATTTCCTTTTTTTACAAATATGTAGTATTCCACTGTGTAAATGCACCACAGCTTTCTCATCCCCTCTTCCACTGATGTGTACTTGGGCCATTTCCAGATCTTGGCTATTGTAAATAATACTCATAACTGATTCTTTTTTAACTGTCTTATCTCACCATGTAATTGATGGCAAGTGGCATTATTCTCTTTATTCATCTTTATTTAGAATATCTAGAACAGAGAGCTGTTTACTAAAGTAATGGATAAATACATCTCTGTTGTCCCCTAAGCCCAAACCAAGAGAGAAGGGAGAAGTTTCAATTTGTAAATCAATAGCTTATGAGGCCATAAAGAGGACACTACAATGGGAGACAACCACACCTTCACTGGTCCTTTCTTACCTCTGGGTATTGGGACAGGCTACATTTGGTTTGGGTTATACCTTCATTCTCTCAATGGAAGAAATGCTCTCATGCAGAGCCATACATCCCATTTTTAAGACAGCTATAACAGTCATATCAGGATTCATGTTCTGTAGGCTCTGGTGTACACTTGGTACACTTTCAAAAAGCACCAACAACTCTTTTCCTCCCTGGCTGCTTGAAGATCAGCCTCCATCATGAACAACACAGTAACTATCTGGATCAGGAAATTCATGACCAACAGACTACTTCAGTCAAAACAAATGGTCATTGGCATCCTTCACCCTGGGAAAGCAACAGTACCTAAGAGAGAAAATTTGTGAAAAACTAACCAAAATGTGTAAGACCACACCAGATGTCATCTTTGTATATGATTCAGAATCCATTTTGGTGGTGGCAAGACCAATGGCTTTGGCATGATTTATTATTCCTTGGATTATGCAAAGAAAAAATGAACCTAAACATAGACTTGCAAGACATTGCCTGTTTGAGAAAAAGAAGACCTCAAGACAACAGCAAAAGGAACAGAGGAACAGAATGAAAAAAGTCAAAGGGTCTGCAAAAGCCAATGTTGGTGCTGCAAAAAGTGATCTGGATATTGGACAAGAGTATAAATTCTTTGGTGACTGTATCTGTGAGGGTTGTGCAGATTTTCATGAGAGGATTAATAAACTGAAAACTTCAACTAAAAAAAAAAAGCACAAACAAGAATGACATTGACCACACACCAAATGCTCCACCATCTACTATTTCCTCCAACCCCTATTGTTATAAGCTGGTGGGGTGGGGGGACATTACTAGGTAGCCATGGAAAGTCTCACTTCTCTTTCTCTCTCAAATTCCCCTATTTAATTGTATTCAGTTAATCAAGTATTGTATGGCCCATCCCTCAATCTGGTTTGCCCAAGTCCTTGATATAGGTCTTTGTCCTAGTTTCTAGCATTCATAAGGATTTTCCCCCCTTATTTGGGAAACTAGAAAATTTAATTAATAGGGTTTGGAGGCCTAATGTATAAAATAACAAGCCTATGAAAAATTCACCAATTAACAGATTAAATATAATAATAGTGAGGTAGGTGCATCATATAAGAAATGTGTCATCTTTCTGTGTAGAGGTAAAGAAAAATTATTGGCAACCAAGGGGTAAGAAAACAAACTTTTAGAAGCCAGTAAATGGAACATCTGGCTCTAAGAATAAAGTTTCTTCTTGGAAAAACCCAAAAGAAAAATTATAGTCGGTAGATAAGACTTAAAAATTTCTACCCAAGCCCTGGGTGGTTTTTCTCAGTGGTTAGATTGTCAGCCCATGGACCCAAGGGTCACAGGTTCAATTTCCAGTCAAGGGGACATGCCCGGGTTGCAAGCTAGATCCCTGGCCCTGGTTGGGTAGTGTGGGAGGCAACCAATCAATGTGTCTCTCTCACATCGATGTTTCTCTTTCTCTCTCTCTCTTCCTCATTCCCTTCACTCTCTCTAAAAACCAATGAGAAAATATCCTTGGGTGAGGATTTTTTTAAAAAGAAGAAAAAATTTCTACTTGAACAGCTCAGGTTTTAGGAGATTGAAATTCACGGACTCTGTATGAAATACGACCATAAGGAAACTACTTGGAGAAACAGAAGTTTACCTAGCAGTATAACATTTTTTGAAATGTCAAAAGATGACATTGGGATTGCTAGTAGATTATCAAAAGTCAGTCAAAACCCTGGAGAATTCACAAATTTAGTAAATGCAAGAATTTAGGAGGATGTACATGATAGACTCCATGTTGGCCTTCCTGGGTCTATAGAGCACAGGCCTGGGAAACACCAGCAGCAACAGTTCAGTTCAGAAAATGGAGGACAATTCTCCAGGTAAAACTAAAATGGGAACAAAAAGTGAAGTCTCTTCTAGGAAGCAGGAGTTAAAAAGGCTCAAGAAAATGCAGAGTAGAAGGAATCCATAGCAACAAAATGACAGAAATGGCAGAGAAATATTTAAAAAATAAAAATGCACAACAAAAAGAAGTGGTGGGCTTTAGAATCTGAGTAGGAGGTAGAAAGGGTATAAAAACCATAAACCCTCCCTTGAGGAAATTATCATAATGATAACTGAATGGAAACCCTGCTCACAAGACAAAAAATATCTATCTATATCTATCTATCTATCTACCCTTACAATTTCACACATTTAAAAGAGAAGTCAAATATTGTCTCTCATCTACTCTATAGATACCTCATTGGTTCCCATTGTCATGCTCAGGATACATTTCCATGAAGGGTTCCCTGACGACCCATTTAAACCTGGAATTTCCTCCCCAATAACATTCACTATGCCAACACTCCTTATCTCCCTGGCCTGCTTCATTTTTCTCTGAGTCATCTGTCACATTCTAAAATACTCTGAATTTACAAGTTTGCTTTATTGTCTCTGTTTCCACACTAGGATTAGAATCCATAATATCAAGGTATTTCTGTTTTGCTTACTACTGTATGTCTCAGAGCTTAGTAGCTAGCACATAATGGGGACTCAATAAATATTTGCTGAGTGAAAGTTTAACAATGAATAGACAAGAACATAAAAGTCAAAGGAAAAACTGAATGGAAAATTAATGTTTTAAATACTTGAATATAGGCTTTAATTAAAATGTGGGCTCCATGACAATAGGCATTTTACTTCTTGGTAAATATAAGAAAGGATAAAGAAAAATGTTCAATATAACATTCCTAATTTCAATGATTCTAACACACATTTTTTTCATATTTGTATAACTCTAAAATCAGAATATGTTGTATATTCAATGATATCTCAAAATCCATGTCAGCCTGGTAATGGTCATGATGTAGTTCTCATTCTCCTTGAATGGACAGTCAAAGAGACAGCATGGAAGCTCAGAATAAAATTCCAGACAAGCAGAGCACGTTTTTAACTCTTGGGAACCAAAGGTATGAGATAGGTAACAACACCTCTGAGGCAGGAGTAAAAAGTTGGCTAAACAGAACCATAAAGCCAGGTTAAACTTTTAAAAACCAAGTACCAATGGCTTTTAGTTCTGTTATTATTTTAAGAAATGCTACATCACCAACACTTTTGATATCACTGAAGATAAAAAGGCATAGAAAGCAGGCATTGATGACTGAGTGGAAAAGCAAATCTAGACTCAAATTCTAAATGTGAAGAAGTTTTAGATATACCTTACTTGGCCAATTAAGTTTGTTTATAATTTTCCTGTATGCACCAGAGTATTAAGTCTAAAACTTGCTTTCAATAAATATAAAATAAAAATTCTAGGTGCAAGAAAGCACTGCATGACTTTTCTGTGACTCTGCTGATCCCCTTCCTAAAGGTGGACAACAATACTCATGGTTGACCATCAGCCTTTCTAGTTAACACCATAGGAATAAATGTAAGACACATTGTCTGAACACTTGACCCCTAGGGGGAGCTCAAAGTACATCTTCCTTGGAAGTGCTGATGAGATACTGCCAAGGACACATTAGTGAGCCACACAGTATTAGGTATTTCTTTCTAAGTAAATGGTAAAAAGATCAAATGTTCTTGCTATCTACAGGAAAGGTCTTGGATATATTTTACTCTACTCTCTCACAGAGAATGCAAAAAACATCTGCCTCCTATCTAGAGGAGGCCATTGAAAAAATAGATGAAAAAATCAGGGTACAGCCAAGGGGAAAAGTGGCATGAGACAGACAGCTTGAGTCTAGGTAAGGGCTGAGATCTTCATGGGGCTTTGAAACCAAAGCCCGTAGCAATAAAAAATGAGTATATGTCCAGAATGTGTTTAGGAAACTACAAGGGTGGTGGCAATAGGCTCTGGTATAGCAAATGTAGAACTGGAATCTTATCTATGAACTGCTTACAAATATAGCTAAAAGTTCATTTTAAGAATTTTTTTCCTGACAGTATAACAGGATCCTAAGCATTGCCACCTTAGTAAATATAAAAACTTATAAGCAATACGTAAATAACCAATATACATACTATTTTTAGGGGAAGAATAAAGGCCTGTTTTAGATATAGACAAAATGTGAAGCAGTAAATAGTTTTACCTGGAATGATCCAAGAATATCCTTTAAAGGCTCTTCATAAAACTCATCTCTTCCAAAGAACAGCAGCAACTCAAAGAAACTCCTAGGAAGAATAAGTGAACAATAACTTTCATTGCTTCTTTGACTTTTTGCCCCAATTTAAATGAGTCTCAAGAGATAACAGTTATATAATCAGCTATCAAGTTTTAAAATAGCTGGTTTTGAAACATTACATTGATCATTTAGGATTCATGTTATGTATTCAGTAAAATTTTCAAAGAAGTGTCTTCAAGGAAAACACAAATACACTTAAATTCTAGAACTACAGAATGAATAATTACATTACTTGTGACTACTAGTTCACACTACAGAAAATACAACAGGACCCCAGATGGCAAAAATGTGCCTACACAGTGAAAACGATCTAAAATGGGCATATACTCCTATTACAGCAGGCCCCAGAAAAAATACAAAATCAAATTTATTCAGAAGGATTTAAGGAATGGATGAATAGACACTAAAATATATTAGTGAGTCACCATGAAACTCTCAGCCAACATTTATATTGTAGCAGTATCACCAAATATGTATCTAATTAATGACATATGGATCCTCAAACTCTAGACTTACCTTAATTATCATTATCCCACTCATAACAGACTGCCCCAAATCCTCATTTTTAAATAAATTATTTGGAAAATACTGTTACTAAATAGTTTATGTGCCTTTAATAATTGATTAGTTCATAGAGGAAGAAATATAGAGTTATTTCCTAATCATGAACATGGAAAACTATGAAATTATTATATATTACTTAGCAATCTTAAATGACAAATTCCTCAAAATCTTTACATTTTAATTCATGTAGAAGATACTCAACAAGGATACCTAAAGTTGTATTTTTATAAACACTTTTAACCTTTAATAAAAATTAATCATTAATAAAGATTGAACATTTTAAATGCAAATTATGAAACTGTATAATTTTTTAAAAGTATATAAAGACCTAAACATTACACAATAATTACAAAGACTTCTAAATATGGCATAGTAACTATACCCCATTAACTGATATTTTTATAAATTTGACTAGTTAAAAATTTTTAATGTCAACAGACCAAGAACCATAAAAGCAGTCTAAAGCAAAATGATACACTGAGAAAGAATCTTTGCCGATTTCTTTAATTAAAAAGATTATACAAGTAATTTTAAAAGTCAACAACCCAGTAGAAAACTGGGAGAAAAGAAAGACTACTTCACAGAAAAGAAATGCAGGTAGATTATTTTTCAAATATAAAAAGATGTCTAATTGACTCAAATTAAATAAGTAAAAATAAATAAAGATGAAATACCATTTTCCTTAATATTTATAAAAAATGAAAATATTCATATATTCTATGATGGCTCTGATGTGGAAAAACAGGCTTTGATATTTTGTTGGAAGGGTGAAAAATGGTACTACTTATTTTAAGGGCAACACAGTAACAGTCATCAAATTAAAAAATTTTTTTTTCTTTATTGATTTTAGAGAGAGAGGAAGGGAGAGGGAGAGAGAGATAGAAACATCAATGAGAGAGAACATCAATTGGCTACCTCCTGCATGCCCCCCACTGGGAATCTGGCCCACAACCTGGGCATGTGCCCTGACTGGAAATCAAACTGGTGACCTTTGGGTGCATGGGTTGATGCTCAACCACTGAGCCACACCAGCCGGGCAGTCATCAAATTTTATTTTTTTTTATCCTCACCCGAGGACATTTTTCCATTTTTTGCACAGATAGAGTGGGAGGGAGAGAGAGGAAGAGAGAGAGGGAAACATCGATGTGAAAAGGACACATCGAGTGGCTGCCACCCGCACGACCAACCAGGGCCGGGGACAAACTGCAACCGAAGTACGTGCCCTTAGCGGGAACCGAACCCGGGTCTCTCCGGACCACAGGCGGATGCTCTAACCGCTGAGCCAAACTGGCCAGGGCAGTCATCAAATTTTATTTTATTTATTTTATTTATTTTTATTTTTTTTTATCCTCACCCGAGGATATTTTTCCATTTTTTGTACAGATAGAGTGGGAGGGAGAGAGAGGAAGGGAGAGAGAGTGAGAAACATCGACGTGAAGGGACACATCGAGTGGCTGCCACCCGCACGACCAACCAGGGCCGGGGACAAACTGCAACCGAAGTATGTGCCCTTAGCGGGAACCGAACCCGGGTCTCTCCGGACCGCAGGCTGACACTCTAACCGCTGAGCCAAACTGGCCAGGGCCAGTCATCAAATTTTAAATGCACATATACCATTTGACTTAGCAACTCTACTTACAGGAATTTAATCCTCCAAATATGTACACATACCCTCAAAGATATGTATATATAAAGATATGCATCCAGAGATGGTTTGTAATAGCAAAAGAATGGAAACATACTAAATAACATACTAAATGTCTACCCCAAGAGACTGGGTAAATTAATTACAATACACCTATACAGTGAAATTTAATGAAAATATTAGGGAGAAGATACTTAAACATCTATATGGATAAGGAAAAAATTCCAAGATATATTGCTAAGATGCACAAATACATTACATTATCACCTGTATAAAGAAAGGGAGGGAGTAGAGGGCACATGTACCCGCAGTGTGTACTGTCAGACCATTCTAGAGGGATATGCAACAGACTGATCAAAGAAGTTGCCTATACATAGGAGAAACAGAAATTAGAGGTCAGGGATGAAAAGGAGAATTATGTTTCAATAATAACCCTTTGCAATTATTTATTTTACTATAAGTCTGAAAAAAGCCCCATGAATGAACCTCTGGAATCTTCTCCATCCCTATTAACAAAGCATTAATTCACATCTATGTCATCATTAAACTTCTAACAGGCTTTCTTATCCTCAGTCTCGCTATTCCACACTTTCCAAAAACCCATGTCTGCCAATGTTATGGTTCTAAAACAATGATCTCAGTACTTTCAACTTTAAAAACTGCTGTATGGATGTACATCTAAAGCAAAGACCTTCAGCTGACACACTTGTTCTGTTTGGATAAAATATTATTTTAAAATATTTTAGTCAGTGACAAATATTTAAAAACTGTGATGTTTCAGATTAAATATAGATTTCTTTGAGCTCCTGAAAAACAGGAACCTCCTGTAACACAGGGCTTGCATTTCTCCATGGCAAATAAGCTGAGTGGCTAAAGGGGAAGAACCTTCTTTCCAATTTGCCAGTCTCTGCCCACCTATCCAATACAGTGCCTGCTTGTCCTATTTTTACTTAAATTGCCTTCCAATTCTATTTAGGTATTTGAGACCACTGATCTAGAGCAGGACATTCAAATTCCTTATCATGACATAAAACCTTCATGTCTAATCCAAAACTGCTCTCCACACATAGCTTTCACCATAAATTCCATGCTTTTCAATCACAGCAAACTCTTCATACCCTAAAACTCCCACACTCTTAAGGTCTTCGGATCTGTTGCTTCCTCAAGACCTATTTATATACTTTCACCTAGAAACTGGGCCTAAAATTCCCTTTCTTATGCTCTGTGGACAAATAAATGGTTGATTCTTCTGTACCGACTTTGCATGTATCTCTATTATGCTGAAAATGGAAGTGTTGTATTTGCACCAATTGTACTGAATTAAAGAAGAGAGAGATGGAGAGATTATTAGTAGAAATGAAATGTGCTATGACAATAAATTTAGAGATCCGTATGCAGACCAACATGACCTTGTAGAGTCAAAATATGCATAATTGTATATCTGCATATGTGAACATAAAAGGGGAGCCAACATTTTTTCCAAAAGAGCTAAATCTCTGCATGCCCCTCTATCAGCTACCTCAATAATAAGGGCCAACTCCATGATAATTGTATTAATGAGAAAGAACACATGCAAAATAAGTAAAGAGTAAACAAAGACAAAACAACATGGTCTAGCTAGGACTGTCTTAGGTTAAGATTCAGCTAAGTCAATATGTATTTATGCAGCAGTGAAATTACTAGTTGGGGGGTGATCTAGATTATATGTAGGAGTAGAAACTTCATGTTCATGCCTGTTATTTTTTTATTGACTAGTAATGTAAAATATCATCTAAATGTTTCGAAATCAGGTTGTCTAGTCCTCAAGGAAGAACATTCTATAAGGGGCAGGGTAAATGAGTCCAAAATAGAACAAAGTAGGACCTAAAAATATACATAGCAGTCTAGAGCTGGGCAGGCAAACTACTGCCCACAGGCCAAATCTGGCCCAAGAAAGGCCGTTTCTGTATAATGCAAGTTAGCCATATTTACATTGTTTTTAAAAATCAGGAGAATATTTGGTGACAAGTAAACACTACATGAAATTCAAATATCATTATCGATAAATAAGATATTGTTGGAATATGACCACACCCTTCTATTTACATATTAACTACGGCTGCTTTCACACCACAGTGACAGAACTGAGTAGTGGCAACAGAGACCTTATGGGCTAAGCCTAAAATATCTGGCCCATTTGCTCACCTATAGTCTAGAGCCACACTGGGTTTGAAACTCAGCTCTACCACTCACTATACATGTGACTCTAGGCAAGTCACTAGGCCTGTTTCTTTTATAAAATAGAAACAATAATAGTAGCTACCTCTTGTAAAGCACTTAGAACAATAACTGGTAGTGCTATATGTGTTTGCTAATAATAATACAGTACAACTATTTTTATTGTTAACATTGCCATCCAGGTTCCCTTCAGCAATCTAAGGAAACACAGTATCTTCACAGATTGGTCCTTCTCAGCTATGCATATGTCAATTTTGTTGAAATATAAGACATTAATTTTTCTTAACTTAAATTACAAAGATTTTGCCCTGGCCAGTTTGGCTCAGAGGTTAGGGCATCAGCCCGCGGACCAGAGAGGTCCAGGTTCGGTTCCCACTAAGGGTGCATACCTTGGTTGCAGCTTTTCCTCGGATGGGGTTGTGTGGATGGCAAGCACTCAATGTGTCTCTCTCACATCGATATTTCTCTCTCTCTCTTCCTCTCTCTCTCCCTCCCGCTCTATCTGATGATAAATGCAAAAATGTCCTCGGGTGTGGATTAAAAAAATAAAAATAAATAAATTA